TTGCCAATCTATTTCTCTTGATTGGTGAATTGAGGCCATTGACATTGATGGTTATAACTGATATGTACTGACTTATTATTGTCATGTTATTGGCCTTTTGTTGACTCTTTCTAATTTTTTCTCCTCTCCTTTAGTTTCTTGCCTTGGCTATTTGATTTGCTCTGTTGGGCCTCATGGTGTTGTGATCTTTATTGTCTTTTTCTAGGATATTGTTTAAAATTCCTTGTAGGGCTGGTTTAGTATTCATGAAGTTTCTCAAGTGTTCTTTGTCATGGAAGTTTCTTGTTTCTCAATCCATTTTGAAAGAGAGTTTTGCAGGATACATCAGTTCTGTTTGTAGGTTGTTTTCTTTTAGGACTAGAAAGACCTCACTCCAGGCTCTCCCTGACCTAAGGGTTTGTGTTGAAAAGTCTGCTGTGATTCTGATGGGCTTTCCTTTGCAAGTGATTTGTTTCTTTTCTCTTACTGCTTGTAGTATTTCATTCTTCTGTTGGGTTTCTGGGGTCTTGATTATTATATGTCTAGGTGTAGATTTTTTTTTATCGTGGCTAGTTGTAGTCCTATATGCCTCGCTTATCTGTATGTCAAATTCTTCCCCTCTGTTTGGGAAGTTTCTGTCATTAATTCTGTGAACAGCTTTTTTAAGTCATTTGCATTTTCTCCTGCTTCTTCATGGATTCCTATCATTCTTATGTTATTCTTCTTTGCATCATCTAGGAGTTGTTGGATCGATTTCTCATGCTCTCTTACTGTTTTTAAGAGACCTCCCTTTTCACAGTCTGTCTGTGATCCTATCTTCTATATCTGAGATTCTATCTTCACAATCTTTTATTCTGTTGCATACACTTTCAATAGAGTTTTTAATCGGATATCTGTTTGAATCTGTTTAATGGATTCCATTTCTTTCCTATGTTGGGTGTTCATTGTTTCCATTTCTTTCTTATGCTGGGCCTTCATGGTTTCTATTATGTTCCTAAGCTCATCTATTTTTTTGTCAGTTTCTGTTCTGGAGTCTCGAATCTTGTCTTTCATTTTGCTCACCATCTCTATGGTAAAGTAGGAAATAATTTCTGTTTTGAATTTTTCTAGGGCCTGATTGATCTGTTTTGTTACTTCCTGTGCTGAGAGTTTGGAGTGTCCTGGAGGTTCACTATCAGACTTTTCATCTTCCTTTACCCTACTGTTTGCCATTGGTGGACTGGAAGTCTGTCTTTGTGGCTTGCTTAAATGTTTTCTCATCTTTATTTTTGCTGTTGGGTTGCCCTTGATTTTATCTCTGGGTCATTAAATCTTCCTGATATCGTTGCCTCCCAGCCTTTGATTCTCTAATGACTCATAGACATTCTCATTTTCATAATTGAGAACACAACTCATCAAATCAATCCCTATCCTTTTTCCTAATTGATACAATCAGGAACATAATAGGATCAATCACCACCTCTGCAGAGTGTGTCCAAGGATTGTCACAATCAGGGGATCTGATGGGGGGGTGCTCAGCAGTGCGGGAGGCTACTGTCCTGGTGCTGGGTCAGGGCATTCAATGGTGCCCCGCAGGGAAAGGCATGGCTATGGAGGAGGCGGCCCGTAGATTGGGCCGGGCAGAGCAGCAGAGGGGGATCTCCCAGCATCCCATTCTTAATCACAGCATTACACGCTGTAGATCCAGCCACCTCTGAAAAGCTCCACCTATGAAGCTTTTGGGGACATGTCTGCTTCTACATTTTCATACATGTTGGACTTTCTCATCTTCAAGATTCTTTGAAAATTGTGTTTTCTTTCTTTTTGTGTTACTTTTTGCATAACTTAAATTGGATCTGTCATCTAAATGTCTGTTCTACTCTAGTTTTTTGGTACTAGGGCTCAAACTTAGGACCTTGGGCTTGCAAGGTAGGCATAGTGCCACTGAGGTAAATCCCCGGTCCCTCTGCTCATTTGTTTTTTTAAAAAAATTTTTTTTGTTTTTGTTTTTGTTTCTGGCTTGCAAGGTAGGCATAGTGCCACTGAGGTAAATCCCCGGTCCCTCTGCTCATTTGTTTTTTAAAAAATTTTTTTGTTTTTGTTTTTGTTTTTGTTTTTGTTTTTGTTTTTGTTTTTGTTTTTTGAGGCAGGGTCTCACTATGTAGTTGAGACTGACCTGGAACTCATTATGTAGTCCAGGCTGGTCTCGAACTCATAGCGATTCTCCTGCCTCAGCCTCCTGAGTGCTGGGATTATAGTCGTGTGCTACCACGCCCGGCTTGTTTTTAAATTTTAATTTAAGAAATTTAGGGATTTTTGTTTGGTTACTTCTTTGGTATAACTAGTCCATTTCTGTAGTTCTTTATTCCTTGTTCATATTTCTTACTTTTTATTTCCTAAGCATATTCAAATCTCATATACTGTACCAGGTCGTTTCAGCCTCTTGAAGTTTTTATTTGTTTGCTTGTTTGTTTGTTTTGTTTTTTTAGAGTAGGAAAATTTATTTGGAGAATAGGAATGGGGAATAAGAATAGCTCCAGGGAGGGATCGGGGATTTAGCTCAGTGCTTCTGCTGCCTGCCTTGCAAGTGTAAGGTCCTGAGTTCAATCCCTGCTACAAGAAAAAAAAAAAAGAAAAAAACTCCAGGGAGACCGGAGAAGTCCTGAATGGATTCCAGCCTCTAAAAGTTTTGAGGATCTGTTTCTGCCTTTTTTTTTCTGCTAACTTTCAGATATTAGTACCTTATTTTCTATGTCTTGGCTTTTCTTTCCCTATGTGCTCCTGTGATTTGAAAATTTATCAATAGAAATTCTTTGAATCTTGATTAAAGTTACATATTTTTAAAAGAGGATTTGTTTCTTGGATTTTTCTGGGGAGTATATTCTTAATTTGGGGACTTTGGACCAGCTACGTAGATTGCCTGCATCTGGTCTAGAGATCTGTGTGGAGGCTGGCCTAAGGTTATAACTTCTGTAGAAAAATCTTTTTCACTTCACCCACGCTGCCTTCTTTCACCTTTCTATGACATTCATAGCTTTATTTTAACCTTGAAGACATAATTCTGTGGTTCTCAGCTTTAAATGGAGATCTAGAGACTGCCTATTTTGGATGGGTCCAGGCCTTGTTTGTGGTCTCTGGTGCTCTCTGCTGCTGTTAGAATGGAGTCATGAAGTCCCTAGAGCTTGGTGGATAGCTTCAAGGAAGAGTATGGCTTCCTTGTTTGCTTACTGTGTAAGGTTGCAGTTTTCATTTCGTTTTGTTCTCTGAAGATTGGTTATTTTGTTACTTTACAACTGTGAACATAAAAATATATTTAAAATTTTAAATCCTGCTTTTTAGATATTTTTATTAAGAGGACAGTTGGCCATGCTGCTGGAAATTAAGAATTAAGCTTAAAATAAAATCTGAATCTCATTTTGTACTTTACTGATCTTCAGTATTTAACCCTTGAATACATTAACACGCAGAGGAAAGCACAGAAAAGCAAGATCCAAGCCAGTTTTACCTATAGTATATCCTGTACATAGATGTATAGATAGATAGGAACTTCGGTAGGTAGGTAGGAAGGCAGAGAAATACATGTAACCATCTTCAGGCATTTATGTGACTTTTTTTATGTGTTAGTAGGACAGTTCAAATTTGATAGCCTTCTTTAGACCTGTGAGAGCTAAGTGCAGAAATGACCTTTTGTGATATTTGAGAGCGAATTTAAACAGTACAAATGTTTTATTTTGAGACATTGTCTGTTTTGCTAAGTTGGCCAGATTGGGCTTGAATTTATGATCCTCCTGTCTCAGCCTCGAAGATTGCTTGTATTATAGGCACCCAACATCACACCCATCTTGAGAGAGGATTTTAAAACAAATCTTGGCCAACTTTCATATTCTTTGATTTTTTTGCATCCTGATCCTCTTGGGAAGATTACTGTCATAGGCACAAAGCAAAATTGTGTCACTTATAAATTGTGCTAAGATCCTGGAAGGTTCTTATATTTCTGATAGTGAAGGCTGGATGTTCAGGAATAATGGGTAGAATAAAGGAAAACAAAGTTTACGAAAGAATCCCTCAGTACTGAATATTGTCAGGTCCAGCTTTTCCTGAGTTTGGTTTGTGTGAATGAGATCTCCTTGGGGCTTTCACAGTGAGAAGTTCATGTTTGGATGCCTGTGTGCCTTAGGAGGTGAGGCACGCACCTCTTCACTTACTCTCTTCAGGTCCTGAGAATCTCACTGAAGGGCTGACAGGATACACAAAAACACCATTTTGTTTTTTAGACCCATTGTGATTGCAGTGCATGGAATAAAGGAGGGATATTTGTTTCTCACTGTAAATGTATTAGTGTGGCCGGATTACCAGGTGAAAATAGACTAAGCTTTTGTGGCATCACATTTTTACCTGCCAACTTCTTTCCCTTTTTTCTTTTACAAGCTTAGATTAAAATCCTGGCTTTGCCACTTAACAGTTGAGGTGAGCTTAGTTTTATAATGCCTCAAATGGAGATAATGTTAGCCTCAAAGGCATTATTGTGAGAATTAAATAACATAGCATTTAAAATATCCAGTGCTAGTGAGAGTAGACATTGAGTAAATATAACTTTTCTTTTACCTTGAATGATGGAAAAATTATCATCAGTCTTTGGGTATCAGAAGTGCATTTTCCCTTTTTCATTGTTCATTCATTCTGTAGACTGTTTTTTGAAGTGGTGACTATTACTGAAAGTAATGTGAAGACTAGCTATTACTGAAAGTAATGTGAAAAGTAATGTTAAGGGATATTGTTTTGGGAATTCTGTTTTGGAGAGTCAGGTAGATTCTCTTGTAATCTGGTGTATATCGTAGTACTAGTTCATTTATTCTGTATAACAAATTTTAACCATCATTTTATTTCAGATGCAATGTTACTAGGATGTAATTCTCCCATTTTTTCATTTCAGGTATTTACAGAGAAAAATTTAAAGCTGATGTATATAATATATATTCTAACATTGTAGACTCAGTGTTTTACTCATTGTAGTTTTTTATGTTTCATCTTTTGTTTTGTAGTGTTGAAACTAGAGCATCTGTTTGCAGGTGATTCGGGTCGATATTTCGCAATTCAATTCCATCTGGAATGTGCATATATATTTTTATATTATTATGAATATAGAAAAGCAAAAGAGCAGTTTAGTATTGCTCAAGACATTGGCAAATTGCATATTGATTTGACAGGTAAGACTTTACCATTTGTGAATAAATTATTTTATTTTTTATTTGTTTGTGTTTTTTGAGACAGGATCTCACTATGTAGTTGAGACTGACCTGTAACTCACTATGTAGCTCAGACTGGTCTCGAACTCACAGCGATCCTCCCACCTCAGCCTCCTGAGTGCTGGGATTACAGGCGTGCACCACCACACTCGGCAAATTATTTTATTTTTATAATTAAACCAGTATATATTGGCATTTAGTACCATATACTAGTATTTCAATTTCTACAACCTATTATTTTCCCTGTAGAAATCATTTTTAAAGATTTTAGAGTTTGTGTTTTCATGGTAAATTAGAAATTACATTTTTCTTTGTGGCCAGTGCCTTTTTTACCCTTGGTCCCAGGATTTGAACTCAGGACTTTGTGCTTGCAAGGCATTTGCGGTGCCACTGAGCTAAATTCCAGTCCTATATTTTTCTTTATTCCCAGAGAATCCCCTATTCCACTTAGGTCCATGTTTGTAAAAGATAGCAATTGGGCACTTCACAAATGAACTTTGACCATTTGGTTCTTGTGTTGGCCTCTGAAGGTCTCTCTGCTTTGCCCCTCCTTGTAAATACCCTCCTCTTGCTTCCATCTTGCTTGTTTTGTGTTCTTTGTGAGCAGTTGTATCTTCAGTGCCTTACAACCCTGTCTGGCATATTATGTAGGCGCTGAAGAAATATATGCTGAATGAGTGAATGAATGATAGAATTGCTTCTGAAACTTCCGTGTTTTTTCTGAATGCCAAGTAAGATTTTTTACATATTGCTGAGTCCTGAATATATTACTATACTCAGTATTGAATAAATGAATTAGTCAGAAATTATGGCTTGATTGCCCCGTCTGTTCCCATTCAGTGTGGACGGAGCATCCTGGGTATCATCACTTGCCTGTGGACGTTGAGATGCCTGAATCTGTTTGTCCCCTACAAAGCTAAATCTAGATTCTCTTGAAGGGCTATTCTTAGCTCCCAGATTCAGTGCTGCTTATTGAGCTAGTGCTAATCAGTGAAATCCTTTAGCTGTATTATGAGTTAAATATGATCTTGTGCAGCTGAGCTGGTGGTGCAGGCCTAAAATCCCAGTGGTCTGGGAGGCTGATAAGGAGGATTCCAAGTTTGAGCCGCGACTGGGTAACTTAGCAACTTAGTAAGACCTCGTCTCAAAATTAAAAAATAAAAGATTAAAAAAAGAACTGAGGATGTAGATCATTGTGAGGGCGCTGGGTTCAATCCCCATTATTGGAGGAGAAAGAAAGACAGTAGGCTTGTCTGGGATCTTAGCCACCTTTTATTACATTGTTGGGGAAGGTTATTTAATAGCCAGCTTATAACTTTTGGAACAATGCCATGTATAAGTTGGAGTCTTTTGTGTTTGAAAATATGGTTATATATAACTTGTGGGTTTAGTTTCAGAGATCGTTTTTAAATATTTTAGTCCTAAGAGGCGTTTCTGGGACTTTTTTTTTTCCTCCATACCAGGAGTCAAACTTGGGACCTTGAGCTTGCCAGGCAGGGCACCACTGAGCTAAAAAACCCAGCCCTCGGGGACTATTTAAAAACTAATGGCACTGTGGTTTGTATATTCAGCTTTAACTGTTGGTGTAGTTACTATCAGTTTTTCTTTTTTCTTTTCAAGTTAGGGGTGAAGAATTTAAAAATAAAAATGTGAGTTAGGAATTTAGCTCAGTGGTACCCCGCCTGCCTCGCAAGCACAAGGTCCTAAGTTCATTCCTCAGTAAGGAATAAAAAACCAAAAATGAAAATGTGATGCTCACAAATATAAAACGGGAATTAGCCTCGCATCCCACTTACTATGAAAACATAAGCTGTGTTAAATTATTTCACTGGCTGTCTTTGGCATAACATGTTTAAAAGGTTGATGCATAGCCTACAGCCAGATTCATCCAAGGATAAAATGCAGACTTCTCAGCCCTGGTCATTGTAATCAAGGGTCTTTGTAATCTGAGTTTTTCCAGAGAATGGATATTGAAACCTTTCCTTCTCTAAAGTGGTCTGAAACAGCTACTTGGCAGTGTATCATTTTAGACACATTAAAAAAAAATTGGCGTTTCATAAAGCCAGATAGAGTACTATACTAGACCGTGCAATTTAGAACCTGCAGACTATAGCTTTAAACTTGGGCTCTGATGCAGAGAATCTTGTGGTTCTGGACAAGTGAACTACACCCCACAGCCTCCATCTTTTCATCCCTTGTAGAGAGATAATAATTTTTCTACCAACAAAACCTAACGAGTTACTCCTTTCTGCAGAGCAGTTTGGTGCAAAAGTAAGTGTGGGAAATCTAGTGGCAGAAATACTGGGTTTGAGTCCTGCACCATGGCTTATTGGCCTTATAATCTTGTAGGTTGTACATCATTTTAATATCACTGGCCCTTAGATTTTCCTTATGTGAAATTAAGAAAACACCTTATGAATTCTAAAGCACTGTGAAAACATTTTACTGTATGATTGTACTATAGATCTGACTGACAGATCTATAGATATAATTTCATTTTATTTTCTCAGGTGCATTAGGAAAAAGAACACGATTCCAGGAAAATTATGTAGCACAACTGATTGTAGATGTAAGAAGGGAAGAGGATGGCCTTTCACACTCTGAATTCAGTCCAGCACCCACTCCTCAGGAACATTTAACCAAGGTAAGTCAGACTGTAAGGGATGCAGTGCAGTTAGCACCCAGTCTAATCATTAATAGTAGGTTAGTACTGTAGAAGCACTGAGTGGGGTCAGAAAAGACTTTATTGAGCCTTTTCGAGGATTCTGGAAGAACACTGTGTTGAAGAATTTGTTTTTTACTCTTAAGAAGCAATAAATTGTATTTTTCTTGTAGAGTTCAATAGATGTGCATTCATAATGCAGTCAGTTGTATATTACCCCCTCGAAAAGGTACAAAAGGCAGACTGAGGAGAAACTATCCTACCTGCTACTGTATTTTCACTGCACTTTTGCTTTCTGTGGATGTTTGTCAAATTTCAGAGACTTGAGATTTCTTGGACTTGTGCTAAATGTAAACCAGTGATCAGGATTCCTTTTCATCAGTTTTATGGTCTCCCTTTCGTTACTCTGTCATTGTTACTGGATTTCTTGCTTCCTTAGTGTGCTCTTTGGAAATGTCTAATGAATTCTGACCTTGTAGCTTGCGTTTATGATCTTGATCAGGTTTTACTTGTATGTGTCTCTAGCTGCTTCCATGGATGCTATTAGAATATTTTTTATTCTCCAAACCCCACACCTACAATTTTGGTTGGTCTTTGATTAATTTTACTCTTTAAAGCCCACGTTTTTCTACTTTTCCCTCTAGAACCTGCAAATACATTTACCTTAGGTACATTGGACACTAAAATTGTTTCTGTGCTGAGGATTAAGCCAAGGGGAGAGGCTAGGAATAAGTGCAGTGGTGGTGAACCTATAGGACGTGTGCTACAGTGGAGTTTGTATCATTGAAAGCTCTAAGATTCGTCCTTGCTTGGTAGTGGGAGGAGTGGCAGCTGCCATATCCCAAGGAAGGCCTTTGAGATACACCGCTTATTTCTTAGGGTTAGACCAAATGCTTTATTGTTTGCTTTTGTGATAACTTCAGTGAGGGGCAGCTCCCGATTCCCAGAGTGCATGAAGAGAGTGCTAGGAATCCAAGGATCAGACTGCAGAGGGTGCAGACTGTGCTCTGTGAAGGATGAGCTGCAAGTGAGCAAGGCTGTGTACCACTGGGATGAACTGTCATAAGCTTGAGTTTTAGGCCATAGCACAGCAGCTATGAAAAGAGATTTAATTGTGAAATCTAAGCATTTTATTTAGTAATGCATTTTTTTACTGTGTTCTCCTATTTCAAATTGTCTTTCATAATGATAAATATGAAATGATGACTCTTGTAGGGATTGTATAAAATTTGATATATAATTTAATATAGAATTTATTTAACCTTTTCAAATTTGAAGTAAAATACATTTAGATAATCTTACAATCTTTGTTAATTATGAACTAATGACAAATATGTTGTGTGATATAGATATGGATTAGATAGAAACAAGTTTATTCTCATGAATTGAAGATAGAATCATTTGTTAAATTAGTTATATATCACCAAATGTGGTGGTGCGTACTTGTAATCGCAGCAACTCCAGAGGTTGAGGCAGGAGGATTGCAAGTTCGAATCCATCCTGAGCAACTAAGTGAGACCTAGTCACCGTACCCCAACCCGCCCACCAAAGGTAGTCTGAAGTAAAGCTCGGTAGGGGAACTCTTGTCTGGCTTGCCTGAGCCCTGGGTTCATTCCCCAGTACCACCAAAACCCCAAACCAAAACAAAAACAGTATATCATTTTTCCTTTTTTTCTAAAGATGTAAAATCCACTATGTATTTAATAACTACTCTTCTGGGGAAAGAGCACTGTACCAGTTCTGATGATTGCAAAAATACATCCTGATTACAAATATTATTGTGTGAAAATATACCTTGTAGAATTGTGTCTGTGCAGTACTTTTACTGCCAGTGAGAAACACAGTATTTTCCCTTTAAGCTTTCCTAGTTTTATAATCTGTTATTATTGGAGAATTACATAGACTAAAGGTGTTGGATAGCAGGGTATAAAAGTAAGCCAGCAGTTAGGATCCACACCATTGTGTAAATCTGGCACACTCTTCTTTAATGTTTACCTGTTGGAGGGGGCAGGGGGAGAATAAATTAAAAGATGTATTCACAGAAACAGAAGTACACACTTGCTCAGCTGCCTCTGACAAGAAGTGCACATTAAATGCCAAATATGTTGTGTCTAACATAGTGGTGGGGGATTGCGTTCTGATTTTTTAATTCAGTAGAATGCTGAGGCTGAAGTGGGACTAAGATGGAGAGTATTTAACTGTGGGGACTTGTGGAAAATTGGATCTAAATAGATACTGTAGTAGCCCATCTTAATAGCAAGAATAGTTGAAGAATATTATCTTTTTTCTTTTTTTTGGTACGGGGATCGAACTTGGGTCCTTGCGCTTGCGAGGCAGGTGGTGGCACCACTGAGCTAAATCCCCGGCCCTGGATATAGGGAATCTTGAATGAAGATTGAAACTATGTAATTGCCTTGTTCTATCTGGCAAATGATCCCCTGTGGCTAACCCTGACCTGGCTCAGGTCTTCTGTGGTGAAGGGAAGGAGTCCTCTGCTGGGGGCAGAGAGTGTGTTCCTGTCACATCTTCACTGCAAGGCCTGGGATTGTTACCTCGTTTGTTTTTGCTCACATTATACTGTGCTAAAGATCAGGTCAGATGTGTAAAGGCAGTCTACAAATGTGTATGAAACACTGGATCTAGACAAAAACAAGTTAATACAACTCTGATAGGATATTAAAAGGTGAGAGTTTGGGGACTGTAGGCCACACTGCCTGCTATGGCAGCCATCAGCCACCAGTGACAGTGGAGCACTTGAAGGCTGGTGGTCCAAACTGAGCTGGGCCTGCAGTGTAAAATACATACCGTGGTAACAACTGTATGCAGAAAGAATGGAAAGTATCATATTAATAATGTTTTTTTAATCTTATAGGAATGTTTTGATGTATTATTTTGTTTGTGTCAGAAAGTTTTAAATTATATATAATTTTATTTAAAAAATTATGAAAAGTCTATGGTGAAAAAGGATGGCCACAAGAGTGTGCTGTATACCAGTCAGCCCTGCTTTATAAGCAAGGCTACTCTCATTCAGAGAGGAACTTTTACACTGGGAACTGAGGCCTGACCTCAAGTTTTGTGTTCCTCTAGGTCATTACTTATTGAAGATTGCAGTACTTTTTCCTTTTTTTTTGGTACCGGGGATTGAACTCGGGTCTTTGTGCTTGCAAGGCAGGCCACCCAACTGCTGAGCTAAATCCCCGGCCCTGCAGTACTTTTTTCTTGAAACCCTGTAGATGGTGGTTAGGCCTAGAGTTAGGGTGAATTTGAGGGTAAACAAGGAAGCTGCCCCTTTGGCCTGTGGTTTGGGCAGTGAACTGGTTCCCTTTCTCCCATATGCAAAGCTCGACCTGTTAGCCTTAGATAATTTCCACCCAGCTGAAACTGGAATCTCCATTTGGCTCTTGAAATCTCCCTGTTTCAGCTCTACTTTTGTTGAACTAGAAAATATTAAAATCAAGTTTATGAAGAACAGTTTATATAAAATGCACCTACCTATTTATTTATTTATTCATTTCATTTATTTTCAGACAAAGTCTTGCTGGGTAGCTTAGACTGGTCTTCAACCTGCTATGTAGCCCAGGCCGGCCTCAAACTTGTGGCGGTCCTCCTGACTCAGTCTCCCATGTGCTGGGATTACAGGTGTGTGCCACCATGTCTAGATCTAAAATGTATGCATTTTAAATGCATAGTTTGAAGGTTTTTTTGTTTTGTTTTGTTTTGTTTTTTTGGTACCAGAGGTCAAACTCAGGACCTTGCACTTGTGAGGCAGGTGCAGTACCACTGAGCTAAATCCCTGGCGCAATTTTTGATGAGTTTTGAAAAGTATATAGACCCAGATAACTCCCACCAAAATGAAAATATAGAACCATTGAGAAAGTCCTCTAAAGTTTCTTTGTAATCACTTCTCTGCCACTGATCACAGATTAGATCTGCTTTTTCTAGAATTTCTTATAAATGGAATCATATTATGTGCTCTTCCGTGTCTGACTTCTTGGCATGGTATTTCTGAGATTTGTCTATATTGTAACACCCGTAGTTGACCCCTGTTTATTGCTGAGTAATATTTCATTGATGGGTGGGCCACGTTGATTTACTCAGCTGTTGATGTACTTTGGAATCATTTCTGATATAGTAGCTGTTATGAATAGAGCAGCTTGGACAGAATGTATGTTGGGTCTTTTGAATGAACATATATTTTTAATTCTCTTGGGTAAATGTGTAGGAATGGAATGGCTGGGTTGTGTGGTAAATGCCTTTTAACTTTATGAGACAGCACTAAACTTTTTTCCAAAATAGTCGTACAGTTTTATATCCTTACCATCCATGGATGAGTGGTGGGTGCCCTTCATTCTCACCAACACTTAGTATTGTGAGCCTTTAATTTTTACCATTCTACTCAGTGTTTGTGGTAGTATTTCATCCATTTGTGGTAGTATCTCATTCATTCATTTTTTTCTTTATGATTCATTTTTTAAAAAATGCTTTTATAATGGTATATCTTACAGAAAATTGACCCATCTTAATTATAAAATTTAATGAATTTGACAAGTACATACACATGCCTAAGCATTACAGTCAATATAAGTTCTATAAAAAAAAATTTTTTTTTGCCTCGACCTCTCTGTTGTTAAAAAAAAAAAAATTACATTCTATACCATTGTGGTTAATTCCTACCCTGCTGGCTTTGAACAACCATTTTTCTGTTTTCTACGACTGAATGATTTGCCTTTTCTAGAATTTATGTGAATGAGAGTGTATAATATGTACTCCTTTATAGTTGGCCTCTTTCCTAACATGATTTTTTTTTGAGACTGCATGTTTGTATGGTTGTGTGCGCCAGTATGCGTATCACTGAGTAGTAATCCATTGAGTTTTGGGATATTATAAATAAAACCACTATGAGTATTTATGTATGTATATTTGTGTGGATGTATTTTCAATTCTCTTGAGTAAATTATTTGGGAGTAGAATTCATGGCTCATGTGATATAAAAAACTGGCAAACTATTTTCTGTGATTGTATCACAATATTTCCACTAGCAGTGTATGAAAGTTCTAGTTGTTTCAGGTCCTTGCCTATGCTCAATATTATCAGACTTTTAATTTTACCCATTCTAATGTTTATTCTGATTTTAATTAGTGCCTCTGTGTTTAGCATTGTTCAGGAATTTTTTGTGTGCTTATTAGCCATTCTTTTTTGTTTTTTGTTGTGGTTTTTTGAGGCAGGGTTTCACTACGTATTTGAGACTGACCTGGAACTCACTGTGTAGCCCAGGCTGATCTTGAACTCACAGCGATCTTCCTGCCTCAGCCTCCCGTGTGCTGGGATTACAGGTGTGCACCACCATCCTGGCTTATTAGCCATTCTTATATGTTCTTTTATGAAGGGCCTATACAAATTGTGGTTTTTAGTCAGTGTTTTGCTGTATTGCTCAGTCTAGCCTTGAACTTGCACCCTTTCTACCTCAGCTTCCCAAGTGGATGGGATTACACGTAGGTATTGACTGTGCCTGCACAAATTTTTTGCCCATTTTAAAATTGGCTTGCTTATCTTTTTTTTATTTTTTATTTTTGGTTCTGGAGACCAAACTGAGCACCTTTCTAAATCCCTGGCCCAGCTTGCTTGTCTTTTTATTATTGAATTCCAAGAATTCTTTATATTCAGAGTAAAAATTCTTTTCAGATAGGTTTTATGAGTATATTCTTTGAGTTTGTAGCTTGTTTTTTATTTTTCTTAACAGTTTCCAAAGAGCAGAACTTTTACATTTGGTAATGTCCGGTTTACTGTTTTCTCTATTTTTGCGTGTGTCTTACGTAAGGACTACCCCAAGACTTCCACGATTCTCTTTCACGATTGTTTTCTAGAAGTTTTTCGTTTGTTTTGTTTTTCAGTTTTAGCTTCTACTTTGAAATTCTGCGATTAATTTTGATTTAATTTTGGTGGAGCTTATGAGATAAGAATGGAGGGTCATTTTTCCCAATGGGTATCTAGCCGTTTCAGCATCATTCATTAAAAAGATTATAGCTGTTCAATCACCTAGGTATTTTTGTTGAAAAATCAACAGACCATACATACATGGGCTTGGACTTTAGACTGTTATTTTCTTCCATTCCTTTATATGTCTGTCTTTATGCCATACCACACTGTCCTGGCTTTGTAGTAATTCTTGAAAGCAGTACTTTTTTTTTTTTTCTCGTGTTGGGAATTAAACCCAGGATCTTACACATACTATGTAAGTCCTGTACCACTGAGCCACATTCCCAGCCCTCAAGTATCCCTACCCCCGTACTGGGACTTGAACTCAGGACCTTGTGTTTGTGAGGCAGGTGTGGTACCACTGAGCTCAATCCCTGACCTCCTCAAGTTCTCTTTAAGTCTTCAGATTTTATTCTTTTTCAGATTGTGTTGACTGTTCTAGGTCTCTTGCATTTCTATATAAATCTCAGAATCAGTTTGTCAATTTGCCTTTCTGTCATTAAGAACCAGGGATTTATATAACAGTCAGAGCTTGTCACACTAGTTGTTGAGGCACATTGTTTTTGTTTTTTGGTACTGGGGATCGAACTCAGGTCGTTGTGCTTGCAAAGCAGGCGGCAGAACCACTGAGCGAAATCCCCAGCCCAAGGCACATTGTTGAGGAGTTGATATTTTAGATTAGAATTTAGAGGCAGAAAGAAAGACCAGGCTTTGAAATTTGATGCTGCCACATGCTTGGATTAGCTTCTTTATTTCCTCATCCGTAAATGGTAATAGAAGTATCCATGGTGATTTGAGAATGAATTGGAAATGTACGTAAATTTACCAGCACAGAGACTTTTTATATATTAGGCCCAATCAATAGTAGTGTGATTCCCTCTTACTGTTATTGTCAGTTCGGACTGTATATATGGTTCATCTTCCATTTCTACAAGCTAAATTATCCTCAAATATGTATTTCACAAGAAATAGCTAATTCACCATGTTGACATTATATAATCTTAAAAAGGTAAATGAATTTTATCCCTTCTCTCCATCTGTGATGTACAGTTCTGTGTAGTGAATCAGATTAGGTTTCAATGTAAATTCTTTTTCATTCCAGAATCTTGAGCTCAATGATGATACTGTTCTGAATGAGATAAAGTTAGCGGACTGTGAACAATTTCAGATGCCCGACCTATGTGCCGAAGAGCTTGCTGTTATTCTTGGAGTCTGGTAAGTTCAGGACTGGCTTGGCTACCTTGCATATTGGTTCTCCAATGTTTGGGGGAAATCCTTGTTCCAGAAGATCCCACAAGTTCTGGATAAATAGAGATTTGTAGTGCTTCTGAAGAGAGAGAGGGAATTCTTGGGCAGCCCATTCCAGACCTAGAGATTAGGAATCTCCTGTAAGTTGGTGTGTTCATTCTTCTCTTTCCTTCATAAACAAAATTTCTTTGGTTAACCTTGGCTAGGAATAGATTCTTAATAAGTGTTAGAAATAGGTGAGTGTCTGCAATTCCAGCATTCAGGAAGCTGAAGCAGGAGAATTATGAGTTTGGGGCTAATCCAGGTCACATAAGTTTGAAACCAGCCTGAGTCCACATTATTATATTGAGACCTTGTCTCAAAAAACAAAACAAAACAAAAATGGTAAGAATGACTACTTTCACACCAAAGAATATTGATATTTACATTTTTTTTTTTAATTGAGTTTATTGGTACATTTAGGGATACAGTACAGTTACATTCATTGTTGGGATCATGTACCTTTACATGGCAAGTCTTGATTCTCATTTTTTTCCCCTTACCTCTGCCCTCCCTTCACCCCCTCCTCCCCTCCCCATCTACAAACACTTTATTTTCATCTTTTCATTCTCTCACATTTTTTTCTTTTCCCTTTTTGTTCTTCCCCTACGTATCACACCTTCCCTACACCTTTAGCTCCTTTCCTCCCATTTCTAAATGTCAGTAATCTTATTAGAATCTTATGCATTGTTGCAGAATATTCACACCAGGGAAACTATTTGGTATTTACACATGTGGGACTTATTTATTTCACTTAGGAGTATATCTTCAATATGTATCCATTTTCCTATGAATGAATCTATTCTCTCGCTCTTTATGGCTGAGTAATATTCCATTTTATAGAAAAACCACATCTTCTTTATCCAGTTTCCAACGGATGGGCAAATAGGTTGTTTCCAAGATTTAGCTATTACAAACTGTGCCGCTATAAACATGGGTGCACATACTTCTCTGTGATATGATTCTTTTAGTTCTCTTGGAAAGATACCCAACAGAGGGATGGCTGGGTCAAATGGAACCTCCAGTCCAAGCTCTTTGAGGTATCTCCATATTGATTTCCATAGTGGTTGCACTAGTCTGCACTCCCACCAACAATGGAGGAGGGTTCCTTTCTCCCCACAACCCCGCCAACATTTGTTATTGTGTGATTTCTTGATAGCAGCCATTCTTTGTGGGGTGAGGTGGAATCTCAGTGTTGTTTTCATCTGCATCTCTCGAATGACCAGTGATGTGGAACATTTTTTCATATATTTTCTTGCTGCTTTCACTTCTTTGTATGAGAAATGTCTGTTCATTTCGGATGCCCATTTTTGGATCGGGTCTTTATATTTGGGGGGACTGATTGTTTTGAGTTCTTTATATATCCTTGATAATAGTCCTTTGTCTGAGGTACAGCTGGTAAAAATTTTTTCCCACATTGTAGATTGTCTCTTAGTTCTGCTAATGGTTTCTTTTGAAGTACAGAAGCTTTTTAGTAAGATGAGATCCCAGTTGTTGATTCTTTCTGCTAGTTCCCGTGCTACTGAGGATTTGTTCATAAAGTCTTTTCCTATACCAATGTCTTCCAGAGTTCTGCCTAACTTACTTTCCAGCAAGTTTAATGTTTCTGTTTTAATATTTAGATCTTTAATCCATTTGGATTTTAATTTAGTGCATGGCGAAAGATAAGGGTCTAATTTTAATCTGTGACAGGTTGATATCCAGTTTTTCCAACACCATTTATTAAAGAGGCTATCTTTCCTCCACTGAGGATGGTGAGCTCCTTTGTCGAAGATGAGGTAGCTGAGTACATCTGCATTTGTTTTTGTGTCTTCCAGTCTGTTCCATTGATCCTCAGGCCTATTTCTTTGCCAGTACCATGCTGATTTTATCACAGTGGCTTTGTAGTATAGTTTCAAATTGGGAATTGTTACACCTGGTGCCATGTGACTGTTGCCTATAATGGCTTTTGCTATTCTAGGTCTCTTGTGGTTCCAAATGAATTTTTGGATTCTTTTTTCTAGTTCTGTGAAATATAGTGTTGGAATTTCAATTGGCATTGCATTGAATGTATATAGCAGTTTCGGTAGTATGGCCATTTTCACTATGTTGATTCTTCCTACCCAGGAGCAGGGGATATCTTTCCATTTTTTTATATCCTCTTCGATTTCTTTTTTCAGAGTGCTGTAGTTTTCAGTGTAGAGATCTTTTGTTTCTTTTGTTAGATTGATTCCTAGATACTTCATTTTTTTGGATGCTATTGTAAAAGGAATTTTTTCCCTTATTTCTCTTTCTGTCTGTCTGTTATTTGTGTATAGAAAGGCTATTGATTTTTGGGTATTCACCTTGTATCCAGATACTTTACTGAATCTGTCAATTAAGTCTAGAAGTTTTTTGGTGGAGTTTTTTGGATCTTCAATGTAGAGTATCATATCATCAGCAAATAATGATAGTTTAACTTCTTCCTTTCCTATCTTTATTGCTTTAATTTCTTTCTCTTGTCTAATTGCTGTGGCTAATGTTTCCAGAACTATATTGAAGAGAAGTGGCGATAGTGGGCATCCTTGTCTTGTTCCTGATTTTAACATGAAGGTTTTCAGTTTTTGGCCATTCAATATGATGTTGGCTGATGGTTTTTCATAAATAGCCTTTATTAAATTGAGGTATAGACCATCTATTCCAATTTTTTGCAGGGTTTTTATCATGAATGGGTGTTGAATTTTATCAAATGCTTTTTCTGCATCTATTGAGAGGATCATATGGTTTTTGTCCTTGACTTTGTTAATATAATGTATTACATTCACTGACTTTCGTATGTTGAACCACCCTTGCATCTCTGGAATAAATCCGACTTGGTCATGATGGATGATCTTCTTAATAATCCTCTGTATTCTGTTTGCTAGTATCTTATTAAGGATTTTTGCATCTATATTCATTAAGGAGATTGGTCTGTAGTTCTCCTTTTTGGTTGTATCTTTCTCTGGTTTGGGAATCAGAGTGATACTTGCTTCCAGGAATGAATTTGGAAGTATAGCTTCTCTTTCAATTTCATTGAAAAGTTTGAAGAGTAATGGTAGTAGTTCTTCTCTAAATGTCTTGTAAAATTCAGCAGTGAATCCATCAGGGCCTGGGCTTTTCTTTGTTGGTAAGTTTTTAATTACATTTTCAATTTCACTGATTGTGATTGGGGTGTTTAAAATGTTTTTATCTTCTTCGTTCAACTTTGGTAATTCATAAGTATCTAGAAATCTGTCCATTTCTTCTGTGTTTTCCATTTTATTAGAGTACAGGTTCTCAAAGTAGGTGTTCATGATCCTCTGGATTTCTTTCGGATCTGTTGTGACTTCGCCTTTTTCATTCCTAATTGCATGGATCTGAGCCTTTTCTTTCCTTTTTTTGATAAGATTAGCTAAGGGTTTGTCAATTTTATTTATTCTTTCAAAAAACCAGCTCTTTGTTTCATTTATTTTTTGTATCGTTTTCTTAATTTCAATTGCATTGATTTCTGCTCGGATCTTTATAATTTCCTCTCTTGTTCGAGCTTTGGGTTTTTCTTGCTCTTGTTTTTCTAGGAGTCTAAGTTTCATCGTTAAGTTGTTTATTTGAGCCCGCTCTGTTTTCCTAGTGTGGGCATTCAATGTTATGAATTTTCCACGTAGAACTGCTTTCATTGTGTCCCAAAGATTCCTGTATGTTGTATTGGCATTCTCATTTATTTGTAAAAACTGTCTAATTTCTTCTTTAATTTCCTCTGTAATCCATTGATTGTTTAGGAGAGTGTTGTTCAGTTTCCATGTGCTTGTGAAGTTTCTATAGTTTCTTGTGCTATTGATGTCTAGTTTGATTGCACTATGATCTGATAATAAACAGGGGATGACTTCAATTTTTTTGCATTTATTTAGACCTGTTTTGTGAGCCAGTATGTGGTCTATTTTGGAGAATGATCCATGTGCAGCCGAAAAGAATGTATATTCTGGTTTTTGGGGGTGGAATACTCTATAAACATCTATTAAGTCCATGTGTTCCAAAGCTTGGTTCAGTTCTATTATTTCATTGTTGATTTTCTGCCTAGTAGATCTGTCAATTTGTGATAGTGGGGTATTTAAATCCCCCACTACAATTGTATTAGTGCTTATTTGGTTTTTCATGTTACTTAATATTTGTTTTATATAGTTGGGGGCATTTATATTTGGTGCATATATGTTTATGATTGTCAGCTCTTCCTCTTGAATTGTTCCCTTTACAAGGATGTAGTGTCCTTCTTTGTCTCTCTTAATGAGTTTTGGTTTGAAATTTACTTTATCTGAGAATAAGATTGCTACCCCTGCTTTTTTCTGGACTCCTGACGCATGGAGAATTGTTTTCCATCCTTTCACTTTCAGTCTATGGACTTCCTTTTGCACTAGGTGTGTTTCTTGTATACAACATATTGTTGGATTTTGCTTCTTAATCCATTCTGCCAATCTGTTTCTCTTGATTGGTGAATTGAGGCCATTAACATTGATGGTTACAACTGATATATTTTGACTTATTCTTGTCATGTTTTTGTCCATTTGTTGACTCTTTTTACTTTTTCTCCCATCTCCTTTTAGTTTCTTGCCTTGCCTATTTGATTTGGTCTGTTGGGCCTCATGTTATTGTGAATTTCGTTGTCCTTTTCTAGGATATTGTTTAGAATTCCTTGCAGTGCTGGTTTGGTGTTCATGAAATTTCTCAGGTGCTCTTTGTCGTGGAAGTATTTTATTTCCCCATCTATTTTGAAAGAGAGTTTTGCAGGATACAAAAGTCTAGGTTGGAGATTCTTTTCTTTTAGGACTTGGAATACCTCACTCCAGGCTCTCCTTGACCTAAGGGTTTGTGTTGAAAAGTCTGCTGTGATTCTAATGGGCTTCCCTTTGCATGTGATTTGTTTCTTTTCTCTTACTGCTTGTAGTATTTTGTTTTTCTGT